GGCACTTTACAAAGTAAACAATCCAGTCGAACCTACTTATCAGGACATTGACGTCAGTTCATTCAGTTTCCTTCATAAGAAAACCCAGCAGATTGCATCCTGTTGACTTTACAGCAATTCTCATACCAAGCAAGCATGTAGCAACAGTGGAAAGGAAAACACCCTTTAACTCATTCACTGCCACTGATGACTAAAGTCATCAACTGTGTTTTTTAGCAAGGCGGGCCTGGGAACGAGCTTGCGCACCCTTAAGCCAGAGTCATGCTTCTGCGTCTGCGCCAGTGCGGAGACACGCAACGCCATTATCCGTCCTTGCGTAGGCCTCCCAGCAGGCACGCAAGAACGTACTTTTCTTAACATCCGTCGAACGAGACGGAGAATGCTTGTGATTGGTCAGTCCAGAAACCTGAGATTACTTCCATCGTGACTCCATTTCCAGCTCATCGAATCTGTCAACCGACATACGAAAATACCTGAAATGCATTTCTGCGTCCATGTCCCTCAAAGATTGCACAAGTCCTGAAAATTCACCTGTTGTCTGCCTAGACCTGTTTAGCGGACGGACATCCCACTGACGCCGCTGTCTCCTTTTATGCTCTTGCTGGTAAGATGAGCATTTCTACGTCTAGATCACACAGTTCCAACTCGATCAAACTTCTCTTTCTCGTTTTGCTTGCCATTTTTCAGACCGCGGAAGTGATTTCCAAGGAAATAGTAAGACGTCACTGTACTGCTACCTATGCTACGCCCTCTGTTGTCCTGGGGGAGAATTGTTTTGCAACACCCCGTCAGCAAACAGGGAAGTATGAGAGCAAAACGCTTGCGTCCATCCGTGCCTGTCTGTCCCTTGTGGAGCTGACGCAGAAGCATGACTCAGGCTTTAAGTAAACATCACAGCTGTACAGTTGATTTCTATAGATGCGGGTCAATCGTCACGCGGTCAGGAAACGGACAATCCATGAATGCCTAAAGCGAGGCACTAACTGGAAAAAGCTTCTGCAGCGCACACTTCGACAACGGGTTGTGAAAGAATGGAAAAAGTTAGAAACCAGTTGATTCTTCCTAATGTAAGAAGTGAGTCTACTTTTTCTTTTGATGTTTACATGGTCATAGAGCCTGCTTTTATTTTGGTGATCCGCTTCCATTTCACAGCAATCAGAATTTTCTCATTTAGCTTTAACAACAGGGGCGGCGTTAGGCCCGGCTACTTGGGCTCAAGCCCCGAATGTTTTATGAAAAGCCCCGGATCTAAATCGTAGAAGTAGCATGCAGTACCAAAGTCCAACAGAGAGGGCGCAGCTGGCAGTAGTTGTATACAGCCTGCCTGAGCCTCCACCACTGTAGAAGAAGCCCTTCAGCAGCCGGCTTCTTCTACACTCTGCCTGAAATGCATGAGTGAAGATGGACATAAGGAGGTTTTTTAGACCAAAAGTACGGCGACAGAACCCCAGCTTTGATGATACTGGTGTTGACTCAGGTTTGGGAGTCTTATTTTAAAATATTTGTTGTGCCGCTGGTTTACCTAAAGTTAGCTTACTATCAGGTAACGTTGTTGGAGAAAGAAAGGGAATATTTACTATCATCTCACACTAAACACTAACAGGAACAATACTCTGCCCTGAAAATGCTTAATATGTAGCTTCAGATTAAAAATTATGTGGTACAAGGTAAACATATATGATGTTGACTAGTGCGTGCCACGTGTGTGTGTGCGCACGCGCGCATGTGTGTGTTAAGCCCCAGATCTTCTTCAGTCCTAAATCCGCTCCTGTTTAACAATATAAGTGAATAAAACCTGTTTTCTGTACAAAAATAAATAAAAAATTCTCGACCCAACCTGACCTTTGTTATCTAAAATGTACAGAACACATTAAACACAATGATCAGATAAAGTAAAAGTGAAAATACCAACGCACACTAAATTTTAAACAAAAGCCAGCAGCTAACTGAGACTTTAAGGGAAGCGCTTCGTTCAGCTCTGTGTGTCTGAACTTCTTCCTTCGTGGCTGAACATCTGTGCTAAATCTGCCCTCGTGCCCCGCCGTCAGATCTCTGGGTGGCCTCTGTGCTGCTCGCTGTTTCTGTGTCAGACACCTGCTAATTTTCAACCGTGTGTACCCAGTGTAGCCTGGGGAGGTGTGTGTGTGTGTTTGTGTGTGTGTGTGTGTCTTTGGAAGAGCTGCTGCAGTAATTAGGAATTACATGTCCATTCAGCGTACCCATTCGTACCGCTTTTTTGTTGTTGGGAATTTTCCTTCATGTTGGGCCAAGTGACAACAGAACGAAAGTGTTGAGCCATGCTTTCCCCACAACAGCTTTACTCCCCAGAGAAGTTTGTCCTCTTTGTTTGGTGTGGACGACTGAAACATAAGAAATGAGCAGATATTAACTGATCTCGTTAACATTCCAAGACGCTCTCCTGTTTCCTCCTTGTGCTCCTCAGCTCTCGCAGCATTTGTCCGCTCAGACCAGAATACGAGTGAAGCAGCTTTCACGGGGGTCTGGGGCGTGAATCAGTGTCCTGAGAAAAGCCTGGAGTGTTCTTGAGGTTCTGATGAGAATATTGAATTCTCCTTGTTGCTTTGAAAAGCAGGAATCCAAAGTTCATTTAAAACTCTTTTTTCTATCACCCACTGAGTCTGACCCTGTCTCCATCTATTCTGTAACAACGGGTCTTTATCAACATCAGCCAGCACACAGAAACCATTAATGTTGACCCTTATTGAGCCGATTCCAGAAGCTCAATAGCTCTAATTACATGGCTCTCTGCTGAGGTACTCAGAACTGTCAAAACATACAATTAAAAAATATCTATAGGAACAAAGGCTGAGAGGAAGAGTGTGTGGGGCGACCGTATGGCCCCTTTCAGCTCTTAAAAGACCAGATTCTGAGAACTGAAGGCTGAAGCTGGACACCTGCACTGATCTCAGCTCCTCTCAGAGAGCTGACCGGTTCACTAGAAGGGGAGAGGAGGGGTAGATAGAAATCTTACATAATGTGAGTCCATAGTGTGTCTGCCAGGCTTTTCTTTAGCCTTTGGCTGTCCAATCTCTAAAACAGGTCCTTGAGGTCTGTTATCATGTTTTTGTTGTTTCCATGCTCCAAAACACCTCATTTGAATCATGACAAACAGACTTGTGCTGAGCTTGATGAGCTGCTGAGGTGATTTAACCACTGGATCAAATGTGTTGGAGCAGAGAAAAATCTAAAGCATGCTGGATAGTGGCACTCAAAACCAAGTTGCCCATCCCTGCTCTAGAACATCAGCTGCCCCAGGTGGTTTGAAGTGAAGTGGCTTCTTTGCTGCCCTTCTTGACACCAGGCCTTTATGTCTTTGCAGAGACGCAGAAGCTCACACATTTGCACATTCCTGAGCCAGTTCTGCGCTGGTGAAGCCCCGATCCTGCAGCTGGATCTTCTTCTTTTTGTCATTTAATTGGCGGGTGACAACCAACTTTCAGGTGCATTTCCGCCACCTACTGAATGGGAGTGTGAGTTGAAGTGGCGAGTATCCTACTAAAAAAATAAAAAATACTAAATTCTATCAAGTATTCCACTTTCCTTTAAAGAGTCTATGACTAACTTATAAACCACTATTCCCCCATTTAACAGAATATTCAACTCAAATTCCTTATATCCTTTAAATTTTAGTTTTTCAACTAACATTTTCCTATTACCCACATATTTTCTACAAGCACATAATACATGTTCTACTGTTTCCCTATCAAGTCCACAGTCACACATACCGGTATCATGCCGCCCAAGAATAAAAAGCGTACTGTTCAAAGCTGTATGTCCCATTCTCATCCTTGATATTACTTGATTCCTGTTACTCATTTCAATGACTTCCATTTTTCCAACCTTTCCCTTTAATTTGTATAAATGTCTTCCTTTCACATCCTTTATCCATTGTTCTTGCCATTCATCCAGAATCTGCTGTCTAATAACTGATTTCACTTCCTGCAGCTGGATCAACTTTAAACAATGCTTTAAGGCAGGGGTGCCCAATCCTGGTATCCTGCAGGTTTTAGTTTTAACTCTGCTTCAGCACACCTGATTTCAATAAGCAGCAGATTAGCAGGCTTCTGCAGAGCTTGATGAGCTGCTGCGCAGGTGATTCAACCACTGAATCAATTGTGTTGCATCAGAGAAACCACAAAACCTGCTGGATACTAACCCACCAGAACGAGGATTGGGCACCCCTGCTTTAAGGGATGGTCCTGGTGTTAATGGGCTTCCTGAGTGCTCTGAAGCCTTCTTACCTGCTGCAGCAAAATGTAAAATAAAAAATGCAAAACAAGACAAAACCTTGTGCAGCAGATGTAAAATCCCTGTGCAAAACAGTTTCTGGACGTTAATCGAGTCCATATTATGAGTTGTTAGAGCTTAATGTTGGAATTGGGTTTTGTGCTTGTGAGCTAGAAAGAGTTTGTTATGAATTAAAACAAACTGTAAAATAATAAAAAAAAACAGTAAATTAGTATTTGACTTTAGGAGCCAAGATTAAATGAATAAATAACCCATTCGACAATTTGAACTTATAGCATCACTGAAAACACACACACACACACACACACACACACACACACACACACACACACACACACACACACACACACACACACACACACACACACACACACACACACACACACACACCCCGCAGTGCCTGTGACAGCTATTGACTTTATTCAATGGCTGTTTCCCATTGAAGCCCATGACTGCAGAGGACTAAGCAGCAGCAGGACACTCAGCCTTACAGAGCATTAGATCACATCTCTGAATGGAGACGAGAACCCAGAATATGACTTCACAGATGCTCATCTGTTGTCTGATAATAATACTCTGAAGTCGTGCAGCTGCCGCAGCCCCTTTGCTCTCCGCAGAGAACTGCTCTGTTAAATGGGCGTGGCTTAAGAGGGCATCCCTCTTTTCTATTGGACCAATGAGGTGTCAGTCAGCCCCCCCCCCACCCCCCCATTTGCTTTTAAACGGGGTTGCAATGGCTTCAGCAGAGTCAACCTGTGGGAGCCGAGATGAACAGCTGATCTTCCTGCAGCGGATAAAACCAATCACCGGTCATGATGCCCGATCCCACGCACGCGCTCTGTGAATAGTTACCGGGCAAACTGACAAAGGAAATAATTCAAAGTTAAAGGGAGTCTTGTTTTTGGAGCCCGTCATCCTTATTATTATCTTACAGTTTATTTTTGGGTTGTGGACCTGTTGATCCGAGACGGACGCACGGTGCGCTCTGCGCAATCCTCTCCTAATTCTAATGATGTTGCTGTCAGGCGTCCTTGTTTTGACTTTTTCCTGCTTTTTGGCTCCTCTGCTTCTCTGTTACCTGCCTGAAGTCTCAGCACAGAAGTCTGGCTCGCGGGTGAGTAAATGAACGTGTTTCTGTTTCAGACTCACATGGATCAAATCAGAGCTGATCAGAATAAAACAACTTTTCACAAACCAATTTCAGTATTTTCACAGAGGTAAAATGACTGCAGACATGTTTGAATAGAACAAGAACACAGCGTTAGTGGTGGTCCATTTGTTCAAACCAGGTTTACAGCAAAAATAATACTTTTTTTGCATTTATTCTCTAATCAAATCCTTCAAATCGACTAAAAAGTCCAGTAGCTGCATTAACTTGAAGGACTTTCCACATTTAGTCATAACACCTTATGAGGTTTAGACAAATGAACCGTCTCACCTCAAGCTGAAGGCCTTGTCAGGATAAGTCTGGAATCCAGATGCTCAGTTAGAGGTTTCTTTACATCAGTTATTCTGAATAACCACAATAAAAAACAAAATGATAATTCAGTCTTCATGTGCTTGCCGAGTTTCTCCAAATGTGCTTTAGGCTGTTATATTTTTTATTCTAACTATGGGTCTGAAATAGTTTATTCTAATGGAGTAACAGAAACTCCACATGTGATATTTCTTCAACCAGGTGAAAAAGAGAAACTGAAACTCACCAAAATGCTTGTTATTAAAGTTATTGCATGTCTTACTGCAGATTTCCTTCTCAGCATCCCTGGATGTTTGTTCCCCCCCCCCAACACACACACACACACACACACACTGCTTTAGTTGTTCCTGCCGTAACACCTCCAGGCAAACCGTGGAATCAGTGATGCGAAGTGGAGGGGAACAGTATTGTTCCAGTTTGCTGATGCTCTGTAATGTTTTGCGGTTGTGGGGGAAGATGACTCACGGTAGGGGGTGAATATGTAATGCTCCCACACACTGGAACGATTTCACAACTTCTTTGAAACTTTCCTCCAAAAGACCCAAAGAGCCATGTTAGATGTCTTCTTTGTCTGGTGGCTTTCAAGCTGCATTCATTATTTTCCTTCTGGTCAGACTCTGAAAGGATTCAGGTGGATCCAGTTCACCTGTTTGGTGGCTGTTTACCTCATTTTCACGGTGGAGTCAGCAGGCATAACTGTGGTCAGCCACAAGTTCAAGAAATAAAGGAGATTTTTTTTTGGATTGATAATCTGAGCTTCTTTCTGTTTAGGACTCCATTTCTTCTTGTTCAAAGCTGTTTTTCTCCTCTGCATGCAGGCTGGGTTAGGGTTAGGGTGCAGGCTGAGGGATCCTTTCATCCTCAGCTTTGGAAAAATGTCAAAACTACTCTGGATAGACTCTCAAACACAGGGTGGTCAGCTGCACAACAGAACTTCTAAGTCCTGAAAACATCTCTCTTCACAGGAAATCACTTCTGACTTTTGTAGGAATAAACACTTAGTACAAGGTTCAGTGAACAATCTCACGAGGAACTTAATCCCTGCTGAATTAAACTTCGTCTGCATCTACTTTGTCCTTCTCCCGACTCACTCAGGCAGCTTCAACACACAACGGGTCCTTCTAATGTTGCTTACAGCTGCTGTGATACCAGTATTTCCAGTTGTTATCACAGGGAAATGCCTCAGATAGCATTACTCCCTTCACATTTCACTGCAGGCACAATGTTTCAACTAAACAGTCCGAATTTATCAGAGCGAAGCCACAGAAGTTATTCAGACAACTGGAATAGTTTATATAATTACGTATTTGCAGATATTGAGATGCTTGTTATTCTTGTGGTTGTTTCAGTAAATCAGTCCTAAGATATGAAACCACGATAAAACCGTTCTCATTAGTGCACCAGTCACTTTTAAAGGCGGTGAAGAGAATGAAAGCATGACCTCACCCAGCTTTTGTGAACATTAATGCAACATCATGCACTTGTTGCAGACTATGTTGTCATTTCTAATGAGTCCAAGAGGATAATCTTCAGCGTTTTGAACCTTGAATCCAGGGATCATCAGATTAACAGCACAGGTGGTGCACAGTCATCCTACCCACAAACATTTTAACAGGAAGTCAGTTTCCCAGAGGGGATGCATTCAGGATCCAGTCGACAGGAAACGAGGGTGCCATTTTTATGTACCTGTGTATCTTTAATCCTCGCTATCGGATCGGATTGCATTCTTTGGTGACGGCATCAGCGAGGACTCGTAAACCTGCAGTCAGACGAGCATGAACAGCCAGAGCCCAAGTGGCAAAGCAGGCCCACGCTGCATATCGTCTTGATGGAGCAGAGCGCTGGGCAAAAGCTGGAATGGTTTTATTGGTGTGAGGGAGATCACAGCCGCTGTGCAGGTGTGAGTGCTCTGCATCTGTGTGCTGATGGATGTAATGCATGGCTGCAGATGTGATCAGATTCCTAGTTTAGGACTCACACGTGTTAGGCTTTTGACAAAGACATAGATGTGTAAGAACAAGAGGAAGCCTTTTGTATATCTCTGAGTAAAAATTAGAAACAATTATTAAATTACTAATTAAAACTTACGGAACAGCGGAAGTGCACCTTTGAGACAGAGGCCAGAATCACTACGTAAAAAGTTCTTACGGGCCCAGGAAATGTGCTTTTCTTTCTGAAAAGATGCAAAAATAGCTTGATTGCAGTGTTTTTGTCTGCTTATGATATTTAATGATTAAAAAAGTAATTTTATTCCAAAAGAATCTCTAAATCTGTGCATATTAGTCGATATAAGACTTTCCATCTTACCAAAAGACTTGCGTTGTTTAGATCTGATGAGATTTTTCTCTTTCTTACCTTGAATCTAATGTGAGCCCGTTATCAGCAGCAAGAACCGGATCCGGGTCACTCTTGTGTTCAGTCACGTTTCATGGATGGAGTTTGAAAGTCTGCTTTTTAGTCAACTTTAGAGAGAGTTTGTGCTTCTAGATCCCAGGAAAGCAAATGAATGGTGGACACACTCTGAACAATAAAGTTTGCTGAAATTTAACAGGAAAAAGGTTTAAGCTAGTTCACAGGGGGGCGTGCCGGGGATACCCGTTGCCATAATTTTTTATTAAATACAAATAATGCCTTCATACATCCCCAAAATGAATATGGGTATTTTTTATTGATGACATTACCTGATTCATATTTTGCTTTCATGGATTTAAATCCAGAAAATGGATCATTTATTATGGATGAGTAATCCTAACCTAATGTTTTAAATTAAACATCTGTTTAATGAAATGCTTTTTCTCTCCTGTTTGCTTTGCATCCATGTTGTCAAGCCAGCTGACCACATATTGAAGTTAAAGCATGATCGTGAGATCTGCATCCAACTTGAATCCTTTTTATTTCTCAGAGCTCTCGCCATTCAGAAAAATCCAGATGATGACCCCTCTTTCAGTTGACTGTCTTTTCTTTGTTTCTTTCGAGGCTCTGCCATGATGAACAAAATACAGTAAATAGCAACCATCTCTAGTTTGTTTGTTCTGTGTTGTAAACATGGATTGCTGTAAAGCGTAACTTCTCATGGTGACATAAGAGACTTTGTGAGACTTCAAATCACCGGTATGGGGATGCTCAAGTTGCAAATGCGGTATTGTTCCTACAAGAGGCAGAGCAGGCTGACAGACAGTTCATTCACCCTGTAAAAGATCCTTTTATCACTTACTGGCTCAATGAAATTATTTAAAAATATGACGGTTACTTAGTGTTTCTTTAAGAATGTATGTTTTAATCGATATGTTTTAATCGATTGTCCGTTGTGTTTCTCTCAGTGGAAGAAATGTATATCAAGAGGGAAATTGGATATTGTTGCAACAGTCTCTATCAGATCTTTAATTGCATCGAATTGGTTGAGAAAGTAAAAGTCCTGTTTAGTCCCTCATATAAAATGACACAAACTGTAAGAAAAGAGAAGGCCAGGAGCCAAATCCACACAGACACCAGGAGTCCACCTAAGTTTTACTGGAGTGTAACAGATGGTATTAAAGACCAAGTTCACTTATTTTCTAACACATTTGCAGTTGTCTCTAGTATAAATGAATGTCTTGTGAGTCAATCTCTGGGCGGAAAAAGCTCTGGTGCTCCTGTTTCAGGATGTAGATGTGAGATAGAAGAGAGGTGCGCTGGAGACGGCAGGATTTGGAATCTTATTTCCTGATATTTGGACATCTTGCCTCTGATTGGCTAACAACAACGTGACTCTACCACTGACTTTTGTTTGCTTTGTAACGTTGATGTTTTATCTCCATAAATAACACACACCTGAAGGAGTTCTGCTGAGTTGCTAATGCTAACAGTTAGCTTCTACTAGCCGTGCTCTGCTCACTCTGGGATGTTAAATCAACAACAGCTTTTTATGATGCGAGCCAAGATGGATGAGTCCAGGGATGCTAAATGGTAAATGGCCTGTATTTGATATAGTGTCTTCTAGAGTCCTGGACTCCCCAAGGCACTTTACAACACAGTCATTCACCCTTTCACACACACATTCACACGCTGGTTAGGATGAGCTACAATGTAGCCACAGCTGCCCTGGGGCGCACTGACAGAGGCAACGCTGCCGAGCACTGGCGCCACCGGTTCCTCTGACCACCACCAGCAGGCAGGCGGGGGGGTTTAAGGGACAACGCGTAGTTTTTATGGTTAATCTCTGGAAATATCCATCAAAATGTTGTTGAAAATGAAAAAAAAGATGCCCATTTGTTGCAGCTTCTTAAGACGTAACTATAAAAATCAGGTCTAAAATACATGGAAGCAGGTCTAAGTCTCTGGGCAACGCCATATTAGATGCCATGTTTCCTTCTACGGGAGCCCTTGAGGACTATCCTGGCAAGCCAGACTAAATAAATGTATTCTTTAGTCTGGCAACGCTCCATTGACGGCTCTCGGTTGTGGGGCGGGTTCTACCGTTGTCTTTCAAATGATCTCCGCATTCCACTGGACAATGAATGTGACATACTCTTGTTTCACTCTGTTGCATCATCCCACCCACCAGGCATATAGAGTGCCCTGATTGGCTCTGTGATTTGTTCACTAAGCAGATAGAGCACTATAATTGGCCCACCATTATGGACCAATCACAGCTCTTT